AGATTGTCTCCTTCCCCAGAAGACAAAAGGCACAGAAATCAATACTGTCTAGCATAGGATTAGGAGGCAAGAGATAGATAAAAAGGATTCCTTAACCTTACAATTAGAAACCCCAACTCTCCAGCCAAAAGGATAATCAGAAACAGACTGCAGACCTGTGTCACAATAATTGCTGCATCTTTCTTTACTCTTTGAAAACTGATATATTTTCTGAAGGTTTTTTTTTATAATTTATTGCCACCCCAAGAAAGGTTTTGATGGCCACTTAGCTACAGACAACTGCTGCTACCAAACCACAATTCAGCACACATGGCAATAGCCTTATTTCCCATTCTTTATGGTTCATTCACCTCCAACCAAGCAAAAATTATATTACCAATGTTCGTACCAACCTCCCAGTAAATTGTACAACTGAAACCAAAATTGTATGTAATGCACTAGTATTCTAACAAATGATCAGCTTACTGTGCCCTGAACCAGACACTTACACAGATTCTTCATGCCAAACCTGGCATCAGCATGTGCTCTGATTAAAATGGAAACAACTTAGTTGTTATAACAAGCATCTTTAGCTTTATTTGGTATTACTAATGCTTTTAAACAGAAGGCAGGGTACTGGCAAGAGTAGAAAACAGACTTGAAGGGGGAGGAAACCTGCAGGCTGGAAAGAAGCTACAGTCTCCAAAGTCTGACCCTCCTGCTGTAGCTAACTAGTGACCATAAGCTCTCAGAGCTGGAGAAGTTTGCTGCATAGAAATTTAGGACTCTTTCTGAGGCTCAACAAGGCAACCACAAGACACTGACAATGACATTTACAAAGCTTATATATTAATTTATAGCAACAACTTCAGCACCCAATCATATATGCTTAGCAACTATACACATTCCCACCTTATAGAGGGTTAAGCCACACAAGAAGCAAATAGTACAAGCTTTCATTAAGTGAGTCAGAATTTAAGCAGTTGCCACATTCAATGTCATAAACCTTTCCCAGTTTTTCTGATACCATCAGGAGAGGAAAAGTCAAATTATTGTTTTCCCCCCAAGTGCAGCACACTTGCAAACCATCACTCCATTCTCTTGTGATCCTACTGTCTACTGAACCTTAAATTTCCTGCCTTAATGTTCCATGGTCTTGTTCTTTGCAAACTAGACACTACCTCAGACCTGCTTCACATTCTGTGGCAGATGAAATAATCCCTCTAAGTAAACTACTTGAAACCACTTAGAAAAAGGTTAGCACAGATGCAGCTTGAACCATTGTCATTTGTTATGGAAAGACAAACAGAAGAATCATGGCTTGAAATAAATGCATGGGAAGAAAAAGCACACATTTCTGTTTTCTTTTAGTAAAGCTCAAAGACAGCATAAAGCTCAGCTTACACATTCTTGTAGAATTAAAAGGAAAAATGTTATCTACAGATTTCTAAGTAAACTTTCTAGACCTCACTCCAGATGAGAGCAAGGAATTCACTCTGTCCCCAAAGCCTGCAGCTAGTAGTGTAGCAGACAGAGCAACACAAGATGTGAGTCACTGAGGGATGGGAGCAGAGGGTAGTGTGGTCTGTATAGTGCACAGGCAAATTAATCTCTTCACACACATACAGTTCCCAAGGGACTCCAGGTCTTGCTTGTGGTGCAGTGTCAGAGATTCACAAGTCTTCATCTACAAACACACTTGTCCCCATGCCATAAGAAGCTTCACTGAGGAAAGGCCAGCTATGCTTCAATCAAGAGCCCGGGGAACAGGATCGCATTACCCTGTCTGTTGTCTGAAAGTTATTTCCAAATCATATTTTCCTCTTTTTTTTTAAAGCAAGACAGCTTCTGGTTGCCACTATTACAAGCACAACTTGTAAACCTCAAGGTAGACTAGTATTTTCCACAACTTGTATTCAAATCCAGGTGTACCAAAGAAACTGCAAAACATTATTTCTTTGAGTGACCCCTGTGTGGCACAAAATCCCACATCCAATGGGACCAGAATAACACTCAAGTATTCAGTCACAGATAAGATCTAAGTCTTCCCCTCCAAGCAGAGGAGAAATGCACAGTGCTACAGACACCATCAAGCTTTCTATTTTGCCATTGTTATTGATTTTGAGAAACTCAGATACCATGGTGGTGAAAGCCAGTGCAAAACCCTAATACACCTAAAAAAGTAGGAAGCATCACTATGATGAAACAGAAAAATAAAGGTAGGTGAGCTAAACTTGAACCTTCAACATATTCTAAATCCATGGTTCAGAGAACTAGACTAGTGTTATGTTTAATAACTTAACCTGCTGGCTTCAACACCTGCAAGTCCAACACCTTCATCTGTACCATTGGTAGGACAGGGGATGTGATGAAGTCTGTATTCAGTCTCACTACCAGTGTTTGCCTCAGTTGTGATCATTTCACTGCAGATTTTGCCCAATTAAGATTTTCATTGTGCCACAGAATGCAGGTACAACACCTGATACAGTATAAACCCTGTAGCCAAACACCTCCATCAGCTTTGATGAGCATTAGGATGGCCCTTCACGGCTCAAGGCAGAGCCATTTCACTGGCCAGGTGCATGAAGACAGTTCAGACTTGAGCCACCAAAAAGAGAACAAAAACCAAACTTTACTCACTCAGAAGCTCAGGGTTGAATGCTGCATCACTGAGTCAGGATCCTCAAGCAGTGTCTGTTCCCCTGGCTGGGACAAGTGTTGACTGTACAAAAACACCCTGTGTCCCCTGTGGAAAACACAGAATTACAGAATGATTTAGGCTGGAAAACACTGCCAAGATCATCTCAGTGAGAGACCAGAGGACACTAGATTCTTAAAAGAAAGGAGCATCTCCAATTCCTATTAAGAACTGTTTTTTCCATACTTGTGAAGTCATTTAGGGGACTAAGTCTTCAGCCCCAATAGCTTGACTTTTCTCTGTTAACAATATAGTTTGGAGGTGTTTACAAAACACATATGTGGGATAACAAAGGCACCTCATCAGTTGAGGAGCTTTTCCTGCTTAGTGAAGCCCTGCTTTCCCATTTTTGTTTTCTCAAACTGGGCAACCCCTTGAAAACTACAGTAAGGCCTTCAACTTCCCAGCTCCTTCTCCCTACAGCACATAGGGCATGGCACCACATCATTTCAGCTACTGAAGTGGCACATTCCATCCAAAAAATTAGCTTAATAGGTCTAATTTCCTTGGAGGATGTAAGCAGCACTTTTTACTTAATACTTACTCTTCACCTGTTTCAGTCTTCAGCCCATCTTTAAAATGAGAATATTGTTTGTATTAATGACTCTAAAAAAACATTTTAAGATTTACTCAAAGCAGCAGAACAAGTACAGAAGTGCTGTACAGGGGGCTAAGCTTTTGAGTGGGAGAACAAACTCCTCACCTCACCACCATCTTCTTATGAAAACTGAGAAGGAACCCAGTAAGGTCAGCTTAGGAGTCAAATGAGACCTGCTTATTTCCTTTTGTAAGACCTCAGCAGACTACTTTGGTATCAGGCAGCCCCAAACCACCACCTTTCCAGAGCTGCCAAATCTGCACCTTACCTGGACAACTACCATAATGCTACTCTTTCTCTTCCCCTTCCCTCTATTTATCTGCTAAATAAAGGGCAAGGCTCATGGCCCCCTCCCTTCCCAGCTGAGGATGTTTTCCTAAATGAGGGTTCTCATACCAATTCATACCACCTGAAAGCCTTTAGAAAAGGGAGATATGCCAATTTATCTGCTTTCTACCCAGCCATTGGAGAAGTGGCTAATGCTCATCTACTCCAGTTATTTCTGATAATGGCATTTGGAGAGTCCCATCTGGAACGAGATGATCTTTAGGGTCCCTTCCAACCCAAACCTTTCTATGGTTCTATGATTCTATTAGTACTGTGCAAACACACACGATGCAAACTTTCTTTGCTAGTTAGAGGACACTGCTGGGCTTTGGTAGGCAAGGTCAAGACAACATTAATCTGCTCTGATAAAGCATGAGAAGGTAAATCATCCTGTGCACCTCAGAATTCATTCAGATGGTACTTCTGGCGTTTCTCCCCCCTGCTTTTGTTCTGTCAGTCTGAAGAGAACAGCTCGTGTGATGTAATTTAGAGTGGAGCTTTTTTAAAGCTTTCACTCAGGAGAAGCTTCAGGAGCTCTGGGGGTACAGCTTAGCTCCGAGAAATAGAAAGAAAGCAAGTTTGCATTGACAGCTTGATCCCAGAGAGAGGTGGCTGCCTGCTTGTCTAACAGGTCCTCTGGGTCTGGATGAGGCAGAGACAGAGGAGCAGTCATATTAAGTGAACGTGCGCTGCCAATGTTAAAGGAACAATTACCATTATTCTGCATAGTTCACTGTTTGCTACTGCTATTTCCTTCAATAAAACCTCTTTTCACTTGCCAATTGGAGCTTGTCATGTAACAATATTTCTTATGCACAATACACATACTAAAATGCCCCTGTGTTTTTAATACATTTATAGTTGTTAACAATAGTGGTATAGTGACAGAAAAAAAACGTACTTGCTTTGAATACAGAACAGGTTGAAAAAAGAACAAACCAGCGGCCCTGCTCTGAAGGATTAATGGGGGTTAGATTTTGCTAATCTGTGTTAAAGCAGTGATATCTCTTCCATTTCATTGATACCCACTTCTTCCTCTCAGGGCCTGGGCTGTGACCTCCTTGCTTGAAAGGGGTTGTACACCTGAGTCTTGTGCAAAAGCTCCAGTGATGGTTTTAGTGTGAGTGAGCTTAGAGGAGAGAGTTGGGCTCTCACTCATCCCTGTGCCCAGGCAGCCCTGAGAGGGACAGACAAGGGGTGCCACTCCTGGGGCTTTGGTAATCCCAGTCTGCTGAAAGATGCCCAATAACCCTTTGATCCTTGTGCATGGTTCACAGACTGGTGGGAGCGTTTTGCCCTACCATCTACCAACACCTGGAACCTATGGTGTTCACTGCTCACATTAGACTCTAACAAAACTCCTTGGGAGCACAGTTCCTGGTGAAACAGGATAAACAGCCAGCCCTGGGGAGACACTGACATTTCACTGGAGCTGTGGAGTTCTACAGTCCTCCTCCAAAAGCTTGTACAATGAAGGCTTTGTGCTAATACTGTGCTTGCCAACATCACAAGGCCAGGTGGAAATGACCACAGCGAAGGTGCCACGGTGAGAAGAAATTACGTGTTTGCACTTCTGAGCAGGCTGAACCTCATATTTCATGCGCCCAAAGGAATGTTCGGAAACCTTTGTAACACAGTCATGAAGGAAACTTTCTTCTGCTGTAAGATTCATGTTTTCTAAGAACACTATTTTCTTCTGAACAAGTTAATATACACAGGAAAAGACATCTTGAGTGTTCCTGACTCTCCTACACTATCCAGGAATAGTGATAGACTGTGAGTTTAAACACATTCTTCCACTGCACAGCGAGAGAAGTGTGTTTAATGCTGTGAGCAGAACAGTTACCATGTTTGCCTTTGCCAGAGCAGGCAAGACTACACTGTTTTAAGAGTACTTATTACATACATAAGTAACAGTGGATGTCATCTGTCTGCCCCCAGAATAGGTGTTCTGCATCTTCGGTGCAGGGAAAAAACTGATTTGTGATAAGATGCACAGCATGAGACATCTTCTGCTTCAGATACCACTAATTGCTTTTTCTATGACTTTTCCTGAGGAAAAGAGCAAAGAAACTCGGACAAGGCTACCATACTGGAGGCTGGTTTGGAGCCTCATCTGTTGAGTTCCCTGGAATTATTTTCATTGACATCTGATGATACCAGATCGAGCCCTGGGGAAGATAAATAAGTGGTTTTCCAGTGCAGTCCAGCACGGGCTGTTCTGCAACACCTGGGAAGGTTCTCAGTTGGCAATAAGATTAATAATGTTTGTTATATTGGACAAGTCCAGCTCCCAGTTGGAGCAGATTAGAGTTGGCATGCAGATTAGAGAGAAACAAATGGAAGCATTTGCAAGGAGAGTCTCTAGAACACATAAGACTCTCAAAGATTGCCACTCACCATTGAGTTCAAATCAAAGAAAAGCTTTATGACTTATTAGAAGACATGGGGTTTGTAGTCATATGTTATCATGTGCCAATTTACCACAAGTAGAGCTTTAAGGACTATCTGTGAGAAATGCTGCATCTTCTGTGACTTGCAGCTCTATTTCATGGTGTTTGAAGTGTTTGGATATATTTTAAGAATATGTATGGGTTTGATGGTGTTAATATACATGCTTTTGATGGTGTATCCCCCCACCAAATCAAAATGCTGACAACCTTGAAGCTCCTCTGGCATTAATGCTGTGCAGGGATATCTTTGTGTCCATAATCGTGCGTAATATCTGCTTTGGGAATAAACTCTTGGCACAAAACTTCAGTGTCATACAGAAAGTGGCACAACTGACAAAGACCTTGGGACATGAAAGGAAGACACTGTGCTATCTTTTCATTGGAAAGTTCACAAATTCTGCCTAGAGATCCCTCTGATATTTTCACTTTTCAGTAGATGGTGCTTACCAAAAATAAAACTGAGCATTTTAAGTGCTTTCCAAATGTAATGACACAGGGATTTACATGTAAAAATTTTTTTTGTAATACACTCAGCATTTTCTGTTTTACATTATCTATAAATTTCCCAAACTCAACAGCAAACACAAGGATGTCCATGGGTGAGACTTACCTTTAGTTACTGTGCTAGTGTATTAAACAAAGCCCTGTCCACTTCTGGCTAGGATTTTTTTTCTGAAACTTGATCATATTTGCAGACAGTCTTAACCTCATTGTGTGGTGAGTCATTAACCATGAGAGGAAGGAAGGAAGAGAGAATTAATGCAGCAGTGCTGTCAAGGCAAGGACAATAATAATAACAATAACAATGATAATAATGTTTGTTTTTTCTTTACTTTGAAAATAAGATCAATTCAGATAAGACAATACATCAAAACCTCCAGTTTCACATTCTGCAGTGAAGAACAAAGAGAATTTGAGAGGTTTGAGTTAACCCTGCAAAACAAACACTTGCCCATGAGCTCTGGGATGGACTTCCCCAGCACCCAGTGCAGGGTGTCCTTGCAGCTTTGAGGGCTCTGTGTGGTGCTGTGCATCCCAAATCCCTGCAGCCCAAGGAGGGAACAAGGACTGGCATGGCCCTATGGTGTCTGGGGTGACATTAATAAAACCAAGGCCTCCACTTGAAGAGGGAAGGACAGGGCTGTGTGTTTTCAGTTCAGGTTCAGTTTGAGACTTACCTACTGTGAGGTTTTTAATTATCCCTTTTAACAAAATATCAGCAGAGTGCAGCATTGAAACAAAAAGAAGAAACAAAAGAATATGGAAAGCAGACTTTAATTTCCTTTACAAAACTTTTTATAGCTGTTTAATATGATAGAGCCACCACACCACATACAAGATCCTCCCCATCTCTGGAAATGTTCAAGGGCCAGGTTGGATGGGGTTTGGAGCAACCTGATCTAATGGAAGGTGTTCCTGCCCATGGTGGGTGGTTGGAACTCAATGGTCTTTCAGGTCCCTTCTAACCCAAAATACTCTGTGATTCCATAAGATCAAAAAAATCCAATCTGGAGCTTAAAGAAAACTTCAGGAATAACCACTCCCTCTCAGAGTCTCCCAGAGAGTAGGATCTCTTTCAAGAGCTGCTGGAATAACAACGGGGTGCCAGAATGTTCTGATCAGAAAATTTAAAACAGGCAAAAGAAAAAAAAATGATCTAACAACAAGTAGCATGTGAAATACCACCAGATCCTGCTGCTCTCTGGACTAACCCCAATTCCTGTAATGGATTTATTTCGTGGAAGCCATTTCATACAGTCACAACATTCAGGACAGAAATACAGACCTAAAGAAAAACATGATAGGGAAAGAAAACAGTGGCTGAAGGAGAATTTGGGAGATCCAATCTAGAAACAAGGCCTGGGGTCCCCAGCGTGGCTCTCCCGGAGGATGCAGGGCTGTATCCTGCGCCCATGGGTTTCAGGGGCTGCCTTGCCTGTGCCCAGCTGAGGTTATGTTTCTGCTGCAGCTAACACTTGATACCAAAGCTGTGAGGTTCCTGTGAGAATTCCATGATTCATCTTGGTGTTTATCAGCCAAGGTCTCCCGAGGACCTGACGCCAGGCTCTGACAGGGAGCAATGGGAGTGCAGGGCTCTGGGCAGGCACCTGTAAACCACCCAGGGAACACGTGGCAAAACCAGCTGTGAATTTTGCTCTTGTGTTCATTTAGGGGGTGAATTATGTCCAGTGTTCGATGTGGATGATGATGTCTGATGCAATAGGGACTTTTGAATTAGCACATAAAACCCTTTCCATAAAGTGCTTGGTCCCCCTTCTTGCAAAGTCGTTACAACTCCAAGGTGTAAGCGAACAGTATAAAATTCACACTGATCCCTTCAATTCTTTTTTAAGCATCCTTAAATCCAGCTTTTTTTCCCCCTGCTATACATCTTACTTTTTATAGTTAAAAGTAATTTTAAAGCAAAAAGAACATAAACAATATACACTGACTCTTGACACTCCATTGCTTTTTTAAACTAGAATAATAAAAATTTGCAAATGAACAAAAGAGTGGGAGGAAGATATCTGATTTACAATGTTTTTGAGATAAAGAACACTATAAAAAAAGATCAATGTGAATAATAAAGCATTGTTAACTGAGTCATGACATTTCTATTCTCAGGGAAGATTTGAACAGTAGAGCTCTGCAAATGAGCACCTTGTGCCATTTTCAAAGTGGGAGGAAGACATATAATTATAATTTTTAAAGTGAAGAGAATTTAAAAAAAAAAATCTCTGTGAAAAAGTTTATTGAAAAACATATCGACATATCAATATGACATAAATTACTTTAATTTTTATTAAACTAGGAGGGGAGAAAACCTCTTTTTGAAGACTGGCTGCAGAAAGCATTCCTTGGAAAGAATTTTCTTTATTAAAAACTCTTTCGCTAAGATGAAACAGCACTGAATGTCAGCACTACCGTATATTTATTCTGTAACTCTTCCAACAGCTGAGATCTATAAAAGAAACATATTTTCAAAACAGTTTTAACCTCCATTGTCTTGATCATTCGTATTAACATTTTTCATGTCACTTATTGAAATCCCTTAAAGGAACCTTTTATTCAGTCAAAATTAATGAAGCCGTTTTCTTAAACAGCCTCCAAAAACTAAAAAGGACGTAATGTTGTGCATTTTATTTGACATACGTTTTCTGCCATTTCACTTAGTTGTGTGATGAGAGCAATACTTCATATTTATGCTATCAAATCTGCAGAGAAAAGTGATTTTGAGAGAGAAGAAAACTAACTCTGCTCTTGCTGTGTGTGCAATTTAAATCCACAGCAAAAATACAGCATTGATCAGATTACTCCAATTGAGTCATTTAGTGCTTTGGCATTCCTGAAGTTAGGGCCCAGCTGTGAAATCATAGTTGGGGCCAAACATTGCTGTTAGGTGAGTGCACATGGCTCCCATTTTCTTCAAAGGGAATGACACACATGGCCAATATTTAACTTTCACCTCTTCCATTCTTCAGCTAGCAAAGCCAGAACCAACGGAGTATATGCAGGCAATTTAATAGAATTAAGAATATAATCAAGATTTTCCAGGACTTACTAGTGATTTGGGATATATAATTCAATACACCTCAAAACGCAGATGCTCAGCATATTCTGAAAATCAGGCCATCTCGAATGCCTTACTTTAGGCAGGTAAAATCATAAATTACTTGGTACTTTGGCCATTGGATCCTAACAAACTGGGTGTAGGATACCTTTTCAAAGCCATAAGCTCCAATTTCTGGCATCTGGGATGCCTGGGAGACTTATGACATCCCAACTCATTTTGGGTCCTCTTTACACACACTTCTCCCCTGCCATTACTGTTATGGAACTTGAACACAGTGCAGGGGCCTTTCTGCAACTAATCCCTTGAAAAAATTTAAGTCCTGGCTCTGCAGGTCCTCTGGGATGGACTGGGCTGCTGGGATGGCCCAAAAATCTTTGCAGTGTAAGTGCCACAGAGAGAAAAAAGGATGCATCCCAAAAATCTAGCTGTCCCATGCTGTATGCAGATCTTCACTTCAACTCAAGGTCAAGTGGAAAACTTTCCTACTATCCTTGCTGACTCTCCTCTCCACTTTCCCCCAACTCCATCTGTTCCTCACCCATCTCCTTCGTTCTGCACTCGCCTCCCTCTTCTTCCTGTGTCCATCTGTTCCCTCCTTCCTCGACACAAGTTGGGGAAGGGAAGTAAATTCAGTCATTCACTGAACAGATTTCAAGATGAACCCCCTCCCTCTCCAGTTCTAACTTCATTCATCATGGTAAAAATTATAATGAATAGAAATGTTGAAGGTGAAAATTTATTAGGGATTGTGTTGCTTTCTTATATGAAAAGCAGTTAAAGCTGCATATAAACATTGGCTTCATTCATTTTTTCTTAATATATGGTATAATTAGTGAGAAATATTAGTGGAAGTGCTTGCTATGCAGTCCATCAACACATGCCTGTCAGAGCTTAGGATCTGGGCCAAAAGTTTTTGCCAGTCCTGTGATAGATTTATAATAAGCCTATAGAAGGCTTTACAGTTAGCTGGGTCACTAATTCATGAAGTTAAAACGTATGCAATGAGGTCAAAAATTCACTATTGATAAAATACCCCCTCCCGGGATTGCACCATTAGCTTTGTTACTGCAACAGCAAAATAAAGTAAACCCAAAGCTCCTGTGAATTACCAGTCCATCATCGTAAATCAGAAGCAAAGCACTTGCTCGAGTTCATGATGTCATATGAAGCCCAAGATATATTTATAGCCTTGTGTACTATTTCCTGTTTCCTTATGACAAAAATAAACAGTCTCTAAATCCCCTGCATCCTTGTGCCTGAGCTCAGCAAAGTGTAATGGGCACGGAGCTATGAAGGCACCCGTGATGTATTGGTCTGGAGCAGCTCACTGTGGGGCGGCTGTGGCGCCCGCTCTCCCTCTGGCCTCTCCCACGTGGATGAGAGCAGTTCCCATGGAGTTTGCTCCATCTGCTGCACTCACTGTAGGGGTAGTCACACACCCCCTCCTATTTTGCCTCCCTGACACTTGGAGAGATAAGGAGAGAAGGTTTAAGCCTCCAAGCCCTAGGCACAGAGTGCGTGGTGTGGCAAGGGCAGCCCAGGTGGAGGAGCTCAGCACCCATGTGGGCACCTGGGCTTGCCACCATGGGGACACTGGGCATCTTGTCCACCAAGACTGCTAAGCCATGGAGGTTGGAGCATGGGCTGAAATTTCCTCTCTCCTCATTTGCTGATGATTTTGGAATCTCATGTAAGGCTTCTGTGGTGTTTGGGTGTGGATAATGCCCCACATTTCATCGCATACCTCCCAGCACTCAAATTTTCTATTCCTACCTGAACTGTTGTGTTTGCTGGTGATCCTCTTCACCTCTTTTCAGATGAAGCTTTCTCTCTTAGCAATTTGTTTTAATTTGGCTTCCTTTCTAGAAATGACACAGAAGATAACAGAAGATAACAGAAACAGTGCACCATCCCATGTAATCTCCCCCTACAAGGAAGCACACTTGCTTCTGTTTGACTTCAAAGCACCAACTCCCAAAGTCAATGACTGTCACTAGGTGGCTGAGGATGATAGCTGTGCCAAAACACATTTACTTACATTTATCCCTCTGCACTCTTGTTTTTTTCTCCCCCCAAGACAGCCGTACCAGCTCCCTGCCTCTCCTGGCACTCCCTGGGGTGACGCCGAGCAGCGAGGACCATCCAGGTAAGCTGCTGGCCCCGTGCATGTGTCACATTGTGCAGAGATACCCCTGGCATTTCTTCCCATTGCTGCTGGAAGACAATTATGTCCTTTAAACTAGCAAGAAAAAGTATTTTGTTTTTCTTTTTACTTTTTCTTTTTTTAAACGTGCCCATCGAAACCCGAGGTTTGGGTTTCATTTTACTATGAGTCTTTTCAAACCCAGTGAGTTCAGATCAAGCCATTATACTTACAAGTTATCATCCATCAGGTCTGATGTAGCTCTGCCTGCTTCATCTCGGGACTTAGTGGACATGGCACACAGATCTTCCAGTGATGAGCATGTGGTATATTAAACAGACAGGTAGTGACAGCAGTGCATGGGATAACAAATGGCAGGGGGATCAGTAAGGCATTCCTTTGGTTCTTTTGCTGCACTGATACACCAAGATGCCTCATGGTGAAATTAAAAAGCTGCATGTCCTAAACTGCTAGAGTTTTCCACACAGTTTAGCATTAACCCTTGGGACTCCTTGCCACAGGGGTGTGAGGCAAAGGGCCACTGCCAGGGTGGATTGGGAGCAAATCCCACTGGCCAGTAGAGCCACAGGCTCCCTTGTCCTTTGCTTGTAAGATGTGGAGGAGCCCCACGATGGTGACAGATCAATTCTCCTTCTCTTTCAGTGGCATCTCCCCCTAAACAGTTTCCCCAAGAGCTATTTGGATTAGACACATTGCTACAGTCCCTATCCAGCAGAACAGAGCACTCCTTATTCCCCCTGTCCCTTATCAAAACCAGACTCTTTATATGTTTCTATAGAAAATCTAATTTCAAAAGCATGCTAGGAAACCCCAGCCTCCTGTTCTCCAGGACTGCAAGACACTGGTTTGTGTCCAAAGCCTATGAAGAAAAATAGAAGTCAGGGGACCTCCTGCAAATGCCAGTCTTGGTATCACTCCTCCTCCCTGTTAACCAGAGGGATCTGGGACTGGCTTCAGTGGAAAATAAGTGATTTACTTTGTGCTTTCATGAATTTAGACACTGGTGAGTATTGAGACTATCTCTTTAATACAAACATGGGTGAACAATCCCAGTCTTCTACTGCAAGAGCCAAGGCGAGTCCCAGCTTCCCCATATGAGGAAGAAAGTTGCTACTTCATGATACTATTTAAAAATGGCACATTGTGGGGGTGTACCTTTAGCTGCCTCTGCCTAACAGTCTAACACTGAATAGTCTGAGATTTCTTCATCGTGATGCATTTATTTTTCTTTTAAATTCACTTCAGTGGTTGATTTCTACATGTTAAAAACACAGAAATTTGCAGACAGCTGAAGCTGAACACAAGCTCATAAAAGAAGCAGCAAAGCTTGACCCTCTGCCCATCTTTCATTGTAATTTAATATTTTATATTCTCAATTAGCAGTAATAATAAATAATATCAGTTTTATATATTTTTAAAGTTTATTTTGCTGCACTTATTTGTTCCAAACTCTCAATCTACTACTGTTCCATCCAGCAACAAACTATAATAGGGGGGAAAAAAAAAAGTGCTAACCACCTTTTTTTTTATGCTGGTCTAGCATAATCTTTATTTCTTCAGACACTTTGTGCAAACATTAAATTGATAAAAGACATAATGTAGATGGACCCACAGCTGAACTGAAGGTAATTGCATACAAATGAAATGGAGACCTATAATTGTACAGTGCTTTAGCCTCTCCCGCAGTGTTTTCTGGAAGCAAGGATCTCACTTGTCATAGCAAGTTGCTTGTTACGGTGATTGCATGAAGACTTGATCTAGCTGTACAAGACAAGTATAACATTACTGAAAGGGAGCTTTTCAAACTAAGAGTCTGACACTAAAATGTACTGTATTTTCCAAGATGTAGTATGCTTTAACAAACAGAAGAGTCCTTGAGTGACAGCTTTTGTTATCCTTTTGTTTGATGGTGCTGTATTGAAAAATTCAGGTTATGTCTATGTCTTTCTATTTCTGGTTTTGATTTCTCTTCAACAGCACTTCAAGAATAAAAATTGACTCGAAGTATGAATAGTAGAAGTCGGTGGATACAGTAAATGTTAGTCTGGCATTTACTGATTACTTCTGTCTGATTTTTTTTCTGTCTCGCTTGTTGAATGCTTAAATGCATTCCATGAACCATTGTGTTGTTGCAGAGCTGGGGAAGTCAACAGATATATTGTGAAGTAAAACATATCTAGTTTGGATTTTTGGGCCAATTATGAAAGTGGAAAATTATAGTCATTCTTGCCTACGCCTTTGGATCTGATCCGTGTGTGCTCAATGGCTCAGCTTGTGTGTAGCTCTCAGTCTGGACAAACAGGATCCATGTGTAAGATTGGCACCTGAATAGCAGGTGGGGCATGTGTCTTTTGGACTCACAAATCAATTATTATCCAATAAATCCAATGCAAAAGCAGGACATTGCCTCCTCTAGAGCTCTGCTGCTTCAATTAGCACAACTTTTCCTGGAGATGGTTTGTTATTGAATGAAAGTGCAGGAAAACTTGTGGTGTGTCACTGATTTATAAACACTGCAAAACAGTGATTACTGCACATGTAAGTACATCCAAAATGCATGAGTTTTCACATTTTGGACTGAAGAGGCTGGCCAAGAAGACAGAGAGGGGGAAAAAAAGACAGCTATATTGATTTTCTCTGGTGCACAGCCTGGCATGCTGGTTTCCTACGACCGAGGGCACAGCCTGCAGGGGAGAAGTGCTATGCTTTGCACTGCTGGGTCACACTCAGTGGAGCCACCATCTCTCCTGCCCTTCCTAAGTCTTGCCTGTGGCTTTCCTTCATCATAACACTCATAAAACCTGAGACTCCTTTCTGTGCCATTGCTGTCTTACTGTCTCTTTTCCTCTATTTCTCTCCATCCCATCGTTCTCTCCCTGTCTAAGGCCAACCTGTAAGCTCTCCAGGACAGGGTAATTCCACATTTTCTTCATAGTAGACGTCATCATTACAAGTTCAAAATCAAGCCAATACATCTGCCAACACACAATTTTAAAGCAGTGATTTAAATGTAAAATGAAAATTAAAATGATAGCTTAGTATTTCTGCATATCCTCTCCCAAGGTCTTACTCTACTAACCTTTACCTTTCTACATATTTCACCATGTAAAAATGACCTAAAATGGCATGAAATTTACGATGAGACAGTGAGCAGAAATTTAAATGAATTGCTCACTCATTCTATGCATAAATAGAATCATAGAAATCCCAGAAGAATGAGTTCAGAAGGGGCTTCTAGAAGTCAGCTCATCTGCTTGTGCCACAAACCAGTATTAACTGCAGTAAGAGCAGGTTGCTGGGGTCCATGCCCAGCTGAGCTCTACACACCTCCCTATCTTTTCTGGGGACTGCTCTGGTGCTGTACACCTCCTATGATGAGGAATTTGTTCCCTGTGCAATCCTAATTGCCCTTGCTGCAGCTTGTGACAGTGGTCTCTTGTCCTTTTGCCTCTGTGCACTGCTGGGAGGAGCTGAAGTCTGGCTTCTCAATTACCCTGGCTATGAAGTAGAACACAGCATCCAGCACTGTTCTTTGCCTTCTCTTCTCCAGGACAACAAAGCCCAGCTCCCTCAGCCTCTGCTCATACAGAAGTGTTTCCAGACTCTTCACATCTTCAGTGGCCTTCACTGGACTTGCTCGAGGCACTTAGACCTCAAATCCTTGCTTGTCCCTACTTCAAGCCTTATGGACCCAGTGGTTTTTCACTTACCTTGTAATTCATCCATTCCATCCACATTTCCTCCTCTTGGCTGCAAGGATACTGGTGGAACAACTGCAGTCTCATCAAGGTTTCACTCTCTGCCAGCCTTTCCTTGGCTTTTCTTCACTATATGCCAGAGGTCAAAGGTATCTGAAAAACAAGAGATATGCAGGGTCTCTCTTCGGGGTCCTTGCAGTCAAGTGCAAACTAACCACTTTAGAGCACTTACTGTTCCTCTCAGAAAGTAGTATTTGCAAAACTGAGTTGTTTGTAAAGATTGATTTTCTGTATGTAGCTCAAGAGCAAGCATATCACAAGATTTAAGTAAGATAAGAAGTGACGCTGTGCTTGATGTGAGGTGCAGGAGTTAATCAGCTGTAGATAAGAACTGATGAGGTTTTATCATCCCCGCCATAGAGAGAATGACTGTGTTTCTTGGCCTCTTGATCACTTCAGAGAGTGAGTGAAACTATATATCAACCCATGTTTATCTGTGCCTGAGAAGTTCTTCAAGAATAAATTGAACTCAGAACTCTTCTTAACCTTTCCCCTAGTTGGGGCTTAAAATTAAGCTCTCCCTCTGGTTTTTGAGCTGCCTCTCTGGCACGCTGACAGCATGTGAAGTATCCCATCTCCTAGCTGACTTCCAGGCCAACACCACAAGTGGGGATGAAGTTATGAAATAAGGAATCTGGATGTTAAACAGAGACCATCTGGCTTTCTTTGCTACAAGATTATGAGCCATGGTGAGCTGGCACATCTGCACCAAGGTACCCCCTACGTGTACATTGTTGGCTGTAAATTTAGGGAAAGAGAGTTGCAGTTGAAAAATAACAAGTTAATTGTTTTACATTCTTTTATATCACAAATTGAAGTTAGGATAGGATACTCAAAACGGATGATAACTGAGGCAATAGTTCTGTTCTCTCTCAAAATCCAATCCCACCCAGTGGAAGTAAATTATTACTTAGCCTCTAAATCCACTGGGTTTAAGACAAAACCTTAGAAGGCAAGTTCACAAATACCTATACTAAGAATAGACCTCTTTTAGGAGACTGAAATCATTAGGTAAGAAGGGTTAGGCCTTGGAAGTAAACAACTGTAGGCTTGGAAATTCTGCATATGTTATTCTTTCAGATCCCTGTCTTGGTATCACAGTCTATTTTTTTTTCCTAATCCCACCAGACAACCAGCTTACAAATGAAAAACACACAGATGAAAAGCCTATGAAAGGTATTGTTATGAGTTCTGTCGCAGAATTCAGCATCACAGACGCTTCATCAAAGGGCACCAAAAATGAGAAAAAATTGTCAGATGCGAGCAGATCATCCATTGCTTCCCTGGAGAAATGCAGAGAATTCACTTACATTGAAGATGACGCATCAGTACATCAGAGGGACAGTGACGGTACGTTTTATAAAACAGATTACATTTGATTTCTGAATAATGCCCATTGCAAAAGAACTACGTGTATCCGACTTGAAATTACATGTTGAACAGGAGGTTCAAGAACATCGCCAAAAGCAATGTTAAGTTGCCCTGCAGACATTTGTGTGGTAGATGAGATTCTCTAGAAGATGATCTTAATTTGTCAGTGATATTAAAGTCATATGAGAGGAATGTAGAGCTTATTGTGCCACAGAGCATTTGTACTTCAGTAATGAGTGTTTGCACAGAGGTACCAGCATCAGCATCAAATAAATGCTATTTCTGATTACTCCAGTGGATGTGAAAAAAGGCTCTGTGAAGTATTTTAGGAGTTTCTTACGTGTGCCTTTTGCAATAATGGATTAGTGTGTTATATCCTGTATATCATTTAACAATTCCTAAATTAAGAATGTCTAAATATGGATCAGCACAAAAAATGCCATGCTCTCCAGGAATCACTAACATCTTTATTTTATCATTGATCCTGTACTTAATTTTAATGAAGGATCTGCAGTATTTATTTTATTTAGGGGACTTGTCCTCTAGTCCAGACACTCCCAATTTTCTGAGTTTGCTGACTATCTCAACCATTACTGGCACACAGGTGTGTACCATGTGATGCAAATAACAGATTTCATACTCCTTAAGAAAGCTAAAAGTGAAGGAAATTAACAACAAAAAAAACCTCCAATCTGTGCTCAATTAATAATGTTAAGGGCTGGATGGAAGCCAAGAAAACCAAAGGAAGCCAGATTTGTGGTTGTCACTGCATACTCAGCTCACTCTACTCTGACAACTTACTGTTTATTCTACATACATGAGGCCAAATCCTGTTTTGTGGTGCATGGAGAACCCCTGAAAGCAGAGGAATAGATGAGGAAATTGATGATTATGTTGTTCTGTGCACTCAGGGAGGACATCCACATTAGTGTCACTAAGTGTGGCCAGTGTGGCTTCAGTGAGCGTTGGACCATGGCTGTTCAGAGCATCATCTCTATAAGCAGATGCCACCAAACAAGAGCAGGAAAAATTAGAGATGAGGCATGCTAGAAAAATTATTAGAAATTCTTCTTTTGTGCTAATTAATCTACTAATGTAGAGAATGAGAGCTGAGGTCATTGTTCTCACTGAGATAAACGCAGTAACGCTGTTTGGCAAACAGCAGGGAAAACAGAGGGGAAAACAGGAGATTGCATCTTCTTTTATGCAGTTTGTGGCTAATTTATTTTCAAATATATAAATGAATGCATAGGAATGGATGTTTAATTGCTAATATCTATTATTTATATACATTACCCCACTTAAAACAGGACCAAAAAGCCTCACACATGCAGGTTTTTCGAAATGTGTTACATCCATTATCACAGTTCATGGTGTGTGCTCTGATGGGAATTTAAAAGCATCTTTACTGCACATCACAGAGTCTGTGCTGAAACATTACTTTATTATTAAAATTTTGTGCTTTTTTTGTGCTCTCTTTCCTGGATGAAGCCCTAAGAATCATATCTATTCTCTCCAGATTACATAAGCACCATTATGGTTAACACATTCAAGGGAAAAAACCTGTTATTAGAAAACAGATCTTTGGAGAGGGAAAAAAAAATTAAAAATCCTTAATTAATACATAATTTTGAATTCTGTCTCTCACATCTATGTATAGGAAGGAAATTTCATAAACATAAAGAACTAAAAAGAATAGTCTTAATTACACCAAAGACTGCTGAATAAAATCATTACATTTTCTACAGTGTAAATTTCATACAATTAAATGCAGCGGTGTCATCTTATTAAATGTTTCAATTTTATAATTATTTCAGTTCATTTAGCTTGAAAAAAAACATAAGCATGAATTTACCAAGTATCACCGAAATCTAGTCATTCTTATTCGACAGAACTGACTTAGGAGTTAGTTGTGCTTGTCTGAACATAAATAGATCTTGACATATTTAAATAAGTATTAAAATTGATAACATTGGTGATGATATGACACTCAGAAAGAAGTTCAATCATATGCTATTTATTCTTGCTACCTGCCTTAGCTGCTTATTTTTTTAAATAAAGAAGTTGGATTTTTTTAAATTTTGTTTTTCAGCAAGAAAGCTTTTTTTTTAAAAAAAAAAAAAAAAAAAAAGAGCATAATTCCGGAAACTTCCTGGCAGTGAACTTAATGTTACGTGAGAGAGAAAATGCCACAACAGAACCAATGCAGTTGAATGAGTTCACAGTTAGTCATCCTAGGGCAAGAAATGTGGTTATAACCATATGCTTTCCCGAAAGAACCAATGAAAAGACATTCATATTGTTGAAGGCATTTTTCCCTTCCAAAAACAAGAAGGGGGGAAAAAAAAAGAAAAAAAAAAAACAGGAAAGGTCTGGGTCTTTGCGCTCCAACTGGATTCACACAGTCGGAATCTCACACCTGCTGCACCCGAGCAGCCTTCCCAGATGCTGGAGGCTGAGCAGTGGGGAGTCAATTTGTTGATTTTTGAAGGGAACAAACAAAACACGAAGCTTTTACTCATGGTGACCAAGTTTTCGGGAATATTCACTAGCTACAGACACACAACCTAGATGACCTATTTTCCAAACCTTTTCCTCCTTTGAAAAATTGACATTTGTGAATGAAAAGGTGAGAACCCCATTTTGGTGGGGAGGTAGAAGGACCCTGGGCTGAGACTTGATGATCACGCTGCCCTCTGTGAATGCTCTTCTCCAGACCTGCTCTACCTCCCTGTCCTTGGCTAGTCATTAAGCATTTTTAGTGCAAATTCTTGTGAACATGGAAATAAACTCCAGTGTCACATGTGCTGGTGTCATGGTTTTGTCCCAGGCTGCAACTCAGCCCCACACAGCAGCTCATTCACTGCCCTGCTGCAGAATGGGGGAATTAGAAGGGTACAAGTGAGAGAGCTCATTATACAGTTTAATGGGACAGAAAAGGAAGAAAAATAATAATGAAAAAAGAATTAGAATATACAAAGCAAGTGATACACATGGCAGTTGCTCACCCCTCGCCGACCGATGTCCAGTCAGTTCCTGAGCAGCAACTCCTGGTCATTTTCTCCCTAATTTATATACTGAGCATGATGCCATATGGACTGGAACATCCCTCTGGCCAGTTGGAGTCAGCTGTCCCAGCTGTGTCCCCTCCCAGCTTCTTGTGCCTCTCTAGCCTCCTTGCTGCCTGGGCATGCAAAGCTGAAAAGTCCTTGACTTGGTATAAACTCTGCTTAGCAACAACTAAAAAATTAGTGTGCTATATCAACATTTTTCTCATCCTAAAACCAAAACACAGCATTGTACCAGCTAAAATTAACTCTATCCCAGCTGAAACCAGGACAGTTGGTCAAGCAGAGCATGCAGCATCACCAACCAGCAGCATTTCCAAATTCCTGCAAGGCTGCAAACCCGCTCAGAGCATCCCTGATGCCTGAAGCTTACAGCCCAAACACTTAAAGAGTATAGAATCATGGAATCATTTAGGTTGAAAACGACCTTTAAGATCATCAAGTCCAACCATAAATTTGGTTCAAAGTGCTCATTCCTCTGAACTTCACTGCCATAGAATGTTTCCATTCAATTTATTTTCATGCAGCTGTTGTTTTTCCAGACACAAATTTCATAGAAAATAAACTTTTCATTTGTCTCTATGGAAGTAGTTGTCATCAATATATTGTTAGCCCACCCCGTGTGCTCTTTTGCATATCATTTCTGTGTAGCCACACAAGCCTAAACCTGGGTAATCCAGCATGCCCTTGTTCTCATGTCTCCCTGCTTTTCCTCTCTCTTAGATGAATGTGCAACTCTTATCCTGGCCTGCTTGTTCTGCCAGTTTTGGGACTTTCTTGTAATGCTGCCTGATACCTGTGAACATTGGCTGACAGATACCTGTTGTCCATCCAATAGATATTACCAGACCTCTGACGAAGACCACGGCAACAACGACTGCAACTGTGACTGTGACATTGATTGCAGCCTTTTAGAGTCCTGCCATGAGACTGGGGAATGCCTGGAACTTGCCATGGAAATTTCTGAGGTCTGCTATCGCTAATAGGAAAACAATTGACAAAATTCCTCAAAACTACCTGAAAGTGAACTGACAGATTACAAAGGAGATTTTTTTTTTTTTTAAGATATTAATAATAACCAGAGATTTTGCCAATGAGGACTGTGAGCATCTTGCTGCTCCCTCCCTGGAGGTCTGTATATCTGTACCACTCTGATTGTGTGATTTCACAAACTGCTGAAACCAATAAAGGACAAAAAAGGGTCTTCTCCTTTGCCATAGATGACAACAGAATTCCTAAGTGCCAAGCGTGCCACATGCTTTACCCACTGTCAATCCAAGGCTTTTATAAACCTGTAATTCCTTTAATCACAGGTTTCCCCATTCATAAACACAGGACAAATTAGGACATTATTTTAGGACTGATATATATATTACTTCATCTTCCTAATGGATTCATACCTAAATATGTACTACACATTGTTGGTTATTATAAATAATTTATGATATAGCATCATTTTATAATTAAAAATTTATTTATTCAATCTCTTAGAACACACTTATATACTCAGTTTAGATAGAAAAGAAAATTAAATGAATTAGAAACCATGCTAGTGGTAATTACAGCAAATGTTGCTAAAATCTCCAGTGAATTTTGTGGAGGAAGCATTTTCACAGGGTAGTGCCATTCGACAGTGTATTAATGTGTGTGCCTATGGTTATGTAATAACAGGTTATGCCTATTGTTCATTAGTTATAGGAAAGGGCTCCTTAAGTGTAATTAGCCTAAATGGGAATTGACTGCATGCTTCCAGAGGAGAATTACACCGTAGATAGCCAGTAAACTCCTCTGCTTTATTTTCATTTTGAGATTTCTGCAAGCAGCAGAATATTGCCACCTATTTTAGTGCAAACAGACATCTCCACCTGTGCACAAAGGATTACAAAATGACAGTATCTATCCTGGCTGTGCTTTCAAACTCCCTCTATCTCTTTTCTGATGGCAGGTCTGATTAATAAAAAGGAAATACATATTGCACATTACACGTATGACAACAAAAGCACATCAATTCAGCTGCCTGAGGGTGCAGAACACAGGTATTAAGCACAGAGGAAAACACAGAGTTGCTTGCTCATATTAGATATTTATAGACTAACACCAGAAACAGTGTTTGCTTTGCACAGGCACTAAAATTTCTCCCCTAAACCCCACTGATCCCAGTGCAGAAGTGCCTGGAGAATCCTAAGGAAAGACCCTGAACAAGAGGCTGGGATGCTGAGCATGGCTGAAATCATTGAAGCCTCTTGTTTATTAATCAGACTAATCCTGATAGACAAATATTTAATGGGAAAAAAATTCATGTGAATTACCTTTTCTGCCCCCCACTTCTGGAAAATTTATGTCTTCAAACCACCAAAAAGTAATAATTAGAACCACTAACAATCTTTGTAGAGGTGTCTTACAAAGTTTAGTGACCAGAGGACAGCAAACCTCAGCAATGCATGGAGCAGCCCAGCACACCTTGTTTCTGTGCTCCTTCCAGGACTTTGGTGGGGAGTAGAAGAGTTTTGTTTATTTTAATTGTGACGTCACATTATGAGTTGCAGCCGCCTGAAGGAACAAGATCATCCTTCACTGCCACACCAGTTCCAGCCTGCCGGCTGGGTCTGAATCCAAACCCCAAAGGAACTGCCCACTGCCATTCAGGAGGCACTGGTTTGGGACACCCACCCTGGGCTGGGCAATGTTGAGTTTTAATGGTCCAGTTTCCATTCTCCCACAGATTTTTGATCTTAAATTTTCCAATACTGAGCCTCATAACTAAACTCTCAGTGCAACATATCAGGCCACAGAGCCTTGGATCATTCTATCCTTTCTATCACAGGTTATCCTTGGCAAAGTGGCATGTGGGTGTGTATGAGTAAAAACACTGACTCAAGGCACTTAAGAGTCAGAAAAAGGGAAAATTTGGCCCACATACCATTTCTTAGAGAAGTACCAATAGAGATGCCCATTGGCAGTCCTTGCTCTTGATGCAGCTGCCCAAAAGGGAAGATTTCATGTGCAATGGCTGGAAGGAACCCAAGAGAGGAAACCAGGGGGTGGCATACCCCAAAATATCAGTGTGGGTCCTAGAGATGGAGAGCTTGTCTTGCAAGCCAGGATGTCTTGTTTCAGTTTTGAGCCTGCAAGGTAATAAGCATTGACCACACAGGCATCACCCATAGCAACTGGGGTCTCCATTCGGCTGTGGGGCTGAATTAAGGACTACTGGTGCAAATATGGAGTTTTTTTCAACTGTTTTCCTAGGAATTATTCTTCAAAAGATCTTTTTTTATCATGTCGTAACCCATAGGTTGGGATACTGAGGTCATGTCTACTATAGGGCATGGGTAAGGTCACAGACAGAATTACAGTGGTCATAGCCATAGCCATGGCTAGACAGGATGTCCCAACAACACGAATGGAATCACACTGTGGGATATATTGAGGGTTGCTGTTGTAGTGAATGGTGGTATTTTAAATAATGCAGCAATATCTCCTTGCCTAAAATGCACAATGGCACATTGCTCAGTTTCCTGCTGTAGGAAGTAGATTTTTAGAGACCTTCTGTATGAACGATGAAACCTTGAAAAATGTCTTATTTCATACAATGCAGCAGAAGCAGCAGCTTATGATGACTTTCTTTTCTGTCATAGAATTGTTAATTGCAACATTGTGTTTTCATGACATATAGGAACATTTTAATATATTGACACCAGAGAAAGTCAGTCTGACTTTTCCATTAACTATTCCAGAAACTGGGTTTCCTCTCTGAACAGCCATCCTATTCCCACACTAAGCTGAATTCCTAGGGCAGAAAAATACCCATTTATCAGATTTGAACATGGGTAGACATTCCAGTGAAACAGAAACATTTGGAACAATTCAAGGCTGTCTCTGCATTTTCTGTTTACTGGGAAGGAAGGTCTGAGCGCCTGAGTAGGAGGCGTTAGGGTGGATGGCTGTTCGGAACATGTTGGACTCAGCTGTGCTCCCAGGAGATGTCAGTGTGTGAAACCAGCTCCTCAGAACAACAAATAGAAGTTACCATTTTGCAAACGGGAACATCGCTCCGACACGACGCCTCTCCCTCCTCAGCACCAGGAATGCGCCAACAGATTGGCTGGGGGAAGAGAGAGACAGAGATAATAACGAAGAGCTGTATTGCTGCCTTCTACAGGAGGGGCCCATGGGATGCTCTCTAAGGATCTCCTCTTGGAAATGACCCAGCAGTCTCACCCTTGAGGGGAACATGTCTTTTCACCTCCTTTCCCTGTGTTCTCAGAACACAACACAGATTGGGATGCAAACTTTAGGGAAATTGACGTTTGCTAAATACAGGAAAGGCCTCAGGGTGCTTCCAAAAGATCACAGATGAGTTATCTCTAAGGAAATTAAATTCTCTGACTGACTGTGAGCCATTCTATAATGTCGTTCTGGTGCCTTACTCTTCATGCACACTAAATGAGGGGCTGAAAAAAATTATTCCATGTACACCCCCAAATATAGGGCTGGAGCATATTATATTACCTCATTTAACTTTCCTCTGCTTCCTAAAGCATTTTAATGATCCATACTCTCTCAAGCAATCATCAGCTAGAACAATCAGCATCTTCCAAATGTCAAGACAATGCACAACTCTGCCTTAACTCCAGTGCTGTTTAGGGATTCAGGATGACTACTACAGTTGAGCTCTAGAAGACTTTGGTTCTCAGGAAGAAAGTAAAGTACAAGAACAATCAAAATATTTGCAATTGTATTTCTCCTACTATGCTTATACAGTATCAAAAAAAGTTCAATAATGTTGGACTAAGAATGTATGTATCTATTAAATTTCTCTTTTAATTACATGAAATGGGTGATTCCATTGCTTTCATCTTCATCTATCTGGATTCTCTTAAATGCAAGGTAAGTTTTCTATTATGCAAGAAAATGAGTTTACCAAGCAGACTGGGATTTCCAGGCACTGCTCCACTATAATTCACTGTAACTGAGTATTAATCATGATTAATAATCTATCATTCCTGCGGCTTAAAAAAAAAAAAAGGAGGGAATTATTGAGAAACTGCACTTTGTCTTAGCATAGTTCATATAATTGCACAATGGAACAATTCTATGAAATTCATTATTCTGCTGGTAATGATCTAGATTTCCTTAACATTGCACACAAATGGGAATCATTGCCATCTGATGGATGTTCCATGGCCTGTGTAAAATGTGTTGGTGGGTGCAAGCCAGTTCATAATGGGGGTGTGCCCATATCACAAAAAACACCATTATAATTGGTTCCCTTAGGAAAAATGCCAAGGTCTGAGAGTAAACAGAGCACTTTCTGTCCCAAGAGCTCACTCTTCTGTGGTCAGAGTTGAAGCACAACAGAAAGAGCAATGCTGAACTACATCTGTTGCCTCTGTAAAGGGTTTCACTCTCCTGAGGTACAGTTGGCATCTTGGATCCTCTGTATAAATAAGGACAAAATTCACTCTAAGGCTCACCCTGATGCCTCTTCCCCCCACACTCATTAAAGTCGTCATGAAGGCTGTGCAAATATAAAATGGAACAGAGATGGTCATTGTCACAGTACATAATTTGTCCTCTTTCTGAGTGTATCCAGAAAAAAATATGTTGTCACTAAAAGAAACCTCATTTGAAATCTGAGAAATCTACAAATCAGAAAATACTGGAAGTCACTGACTTACCATCTCCCAGTGCTTTCCAGTGGTAAACAGGGACTTCCAACAAACCAGTTCACAAGTTAATTGACAATCTTGCTTATAAAAAGAAAAGAGAAAAATGAAGTTATCTCATGGATATTTGGTTGATGGCCTTCCTGAGCAAAGCAGTTTAAGTAACAAAGTAATATTGGAAAAGCCTTATTAAAGAATCTTACAAATCAAACAGTCATCCACATGTTCATACCACAGTATATTGAAGTGACCACAGTACAAAGAGAGGAAAAAAATCCTGCTTTATACAAATACACAAGAAAATCACCATCAATATCATTAAAATGCAGACTCAATTTATATTGCCAGTTTTGCCATGATTTCTACAAAGTAAAAAATAATGCCAGAGAGCAGTGAAGAAAATATTATTAGATCAACTGTATAAAAAGCATGAATGATTCCATTAGCAAGCACAGCTGAGAAAAGACAGGATTTAAATCAAACCTAAATATGATAAGACTATACAGCCAAACTGACATGTCCGTTTTAGAAAACATACAGAAGAAG